AAAGAGAGAAGAGGAGCCCACAGAGACAGCGGAGAAGGGGAACGGGAAGAGAGCTGAGATGGACAAGGTCTAAAGGAGCAGCTGGCTAGAGCAAGCCCCTGGGGCATTACATTCAGTCCTCAGGTTGTCAGATTATTAAAGGATGATCAGGGAGGGGCAGGGAGAGGAAACATGGAGCTCTTCATAGAGAGAGGGATTTGGCAAGCAGGGGACTGGAGGGAGGGGGAGAGCACGGGGGGCACCTCCCTACTGCAGTGATGGGCAGGGGAGAGGAGGGTGCGTGCTGGGGGTGCCCACATGCTGGACAGGCCACTACACAGCAGGGACCTCGGACTCCAGCCTGTCACATCTCCGACTCGCCCACTGTTTGCAGCTGGGGGGAAGCCCAAATCAATTAAGAGCTGAAGATGTCATGGCCTCACAGCCCAGTCCCCTCCCCTCTGTGAAGGTCAGCGGAGGGCGTCTTCATTTGTTTGCCATTAATTACCTCTGATCCATCAGTAATTCCTGCTAACACCACTCATGAGAGCCTTCAGGTGACCGATAGGAAAGCAGCCCGCCTGTTGCTGTATGCGTGGGAGCGCTGGGGAGCAGACAGGACCAGGCAGAGGGCAGCGTTGCTGCCCTGGCCACAGCCTTCAGGGGTAAGAGCAGAGATGTCGCCGGCCTTCTGAAGTGCATGGTGATGGAGGAAGAGCCATGTGCACCACCATCCTGCTCATCAGCACCCTGGTCATCATGTTACGGCGCCACTTCTCAAACAGAGTCGAACCGTAGGTCCTTCCTTCTCTCCCAGACGCCGAGGCAGCCATCGTGGGGTGGGGAAGCAGGTGGAGGGCAGCCTGGGGTGTTAATTTGTTTTTTTATAGTCGTCCTCGATGCACTGACACTGTCTAACATCCTGGGAAAGGTTCTGTTCAACAGCTACAAGGGACAATGGCTGCTATGGATAGTTTCCAGTTAATGGCCTCTGTACCCCGGTGAGAGGGGGACTCACCCATGGGGAACTGTCTGCCCATTTCACTTATGCTGATGATCTCCAGCGAAGTGTGTAGCAGGTATGAGATCAGAATCAGGCCCCATCTCTCAGGCTGAAGCACAGGGTCGGGGCTCTAACAAATCTTTTGCTTCTCCGACTCATGCAACTCTGATCTGTGAATCCCCTCTGTGGGACTCATTAGGGGGTCTGCTGGCATGGTGAGGCAGGGCTGCAGAGCTGCCTCCCCTTACACAGAGGGGAGGGAAGTGTACATAGAGCAGGAAGGTAAGTCTGCTTCAATAATGTGTGTGCGCAGAGCGCGGTGATTCAGTGGAGCTGTTAATGCAAATGGCGTGGCAAGCAGTGTTGTGCATGTAAATGTGTCTTGGCTTGGAGAAATTGGTGCAGTGAAACTAGGAGCATACCCAGAGGATTGTTTTTGTATTGTTTCTGAGGGACCTTCTACAGAGCCAGATTTTCAAAGGAGCCCTCATCTGTGCTGTGTACAGGTTTGATCCTGAAGGGCTTCATGTGCACTGGTAGCTCCCCTTCTGCAGAGGAGAGCTGCAGGCTCTCAAACATCTCAAGGGATCAAGACCTGTAAGAAACGGGCTGAGAAAGCTGTGTTGCCCCTTTCAGTGGCTGTTCTGTAATGTGTTCTGCCACCAGGTAAACTTCTCTTCTGTGCAGCATTTATTGAGTGTGGGCCCTGAGGGGGGCGGGGGAGATTTGCAAAGAGCCTGTAATAGTTAACAGCAAGAGTCAGCTATGGTGGCTTTTATTCTCAGCCCCTGGGTGGTCCCTCTGAAGTAATTGTGAGCATTGGTCTATGGACACCCACCAGAGGGTTATGTTTTGTATAGGGGACCCTGGAGCCAGTCTTTGCAGTAGAGAATAGGCAGGCAGCAGAGGGGAAAAGTGCCTAATGTGCCCCAGTAGGGTCAGTGACAGACCTGGAACGTGAACCCAGGTCTTCCAACTACCAGGCCCCAGCTGTGTCTACTGGAGGACCCTGCCTCTCCTCCGCATGGCCTGGGTCCCTCTGGGAAGTATAGGTTTCCAGCTCTCGCTCACCACCTGTTCCATTTTGGCTCAGATTATTAAGACCGAGATAATGGGGCTGTGCTCACAGGGAAGCAGAATGAAAGCCCCAAATTGTTGCAAGGGATGATAACATGCCGAGTGCAATCCTGGTTATAGGAGCAGAGAGTGCAGCTGTTCTCTTCAAAGATAGACTTGGCTTTAAGAGGTTTCCGTTGTAGACACACAAATCTATTTATCAGCAGAGACTGGAGACATCTGAAAGGGGGTAAGTCAAATTGGCATTTAATGAGCCAGTTTACATCAGAGGCAAGATGATCATGACTCAAAGCAGGGTAGGCATCTTCCAGCCTGCCTGCCCTTTGGAACCTCCTGTGCTACCTAGAGCAGAGACAGAATTAAAGACTAATTAGTTGCCTGAGAAAATGTGTTATTGAAACAAGTCCTGATGCTGGCTTTGTGCTATCCGGTCAGGAAGGGAACTGCTGAAGCCAGGATGGAAGAGGAAGCAGCACTGACGCTCTGCAGACACTTCACCTGCAGTATTGCAAAAGGAAGGATAGTTGCATGGTGTGGTTTTGTGTCAGGGGGTACGTTCCACTCAGGTGGGACCCAACGGGTAGCTTATGGTTTTGAGTATGAAACTCCTAGTCCAGCCCCCTCACTGGAGAAGTCCTGATTTTCTCTCTGCATATTCTTTGTCGGTGATCAGAACACAGGCACAAAGTTAATTTTGCAGCTCATTTGGCACCCACTAGGAAGAAAACAAAGAGAAAAAATGAGAGTGTCTGATCTGCAGCTATGATTTATTACTCGTGAAGTGGGTCCATTTTTCTGTGCACATGTACATGGTGTTTTACAGAAAAATAACGTCCCTGCTCAACCTAAATCAGTGTGCGAATGACAGCAGCAGGCATGGGGGAAGGACTAGGTAGCAATGAAGGCTGGGGTATAGGTAGGAGGAGGAATGTCTGGTGACCTGTGTGTGAAATATGAACTCGCTGCGGTCAGAGCCAGAAAAATGGTGAAAGGAATAGGAGCATGAGAGGGAGACTAATAGATTTTTCAGTCTAAAAGGGCCTATTGTGACCATATGATTTGTCCTCACGCCCATGATTTTGGGATCATGCCCATGGCTTCTGCCTCAGACATGTGCTTCACTGTGCCAGTTTGGAAAGACATCCTGCAAGCAATGGGGAATCCATGACGTTCTTCTGTACGCTGTTCCAGCGGCCAAGTACTCTTAGCGAGAATTACTATTATCTGTTGTAAACAAAGGAGTTACCAGCCTGGATCACATCTGAGCTCCATCTAGTCCAACATCTCGCCCTTGACAGTGGGCAGAACCCAGTGCTTCAGAGAAGGGTGCCAGATGTTATAGTGGCAACGTGTTGGAACCCCGTCTGTCCATTGGCCACACTCTTACTGGAGTATATTAGCACACCTTAACTGACTTCACCAAATGCACCAATTTATGCCAGCAGGGAATTTGCCTTTGGTCTTTTCTATTTGCCTTTGGCCTTTATATGTTTTAAAACAACAGTATGGCTGGACAAGCACCTTGTTGAGCTCGTCTGAGCTGAATAACTTCCTGCCTATTGCAGGGGACTGGACTTGATGATCTGGCAGGTCCCTTCTGGTCCTTTGGCTCTATGATTCTATTTTGTGCTTAATGCTGCAGCATCTGAAGAAAGAAGTGATGCCAAGGATAGTGAGGAAGGGGTCATAGCAGGCCAGGTAATCCATGACAATCACAGTACTGATGAAGAGAAAAGTATTGCGTACGAAGCTTACATAACCTGGTCCCATCTACCCACCATTTAATCACAGTGTTAAACAAGAATCAAAGAAATGGAAGTTAAGCAATGATACACAGAAGGGCATTAAGCTCTTCTCATCAATTGTTCACAAAGCACTTGGCCAAACAAGCATCTTTAATCCCATTTCCCAAATTGGGAAAGTGAGATAAAGTGATTTAGCTGGATGGAGACCCCTGTTCCCCAAGCCCTAGGCCAGTGCTCCTGCCACTGGACCACACTTAGCTCCAGCAGGGACCGGGGTAGAACCCAGGGCTTCTTATTCCAGATGGCAACACCAAACAATGCTTTCCATCTGTAAGCCCCCCATGCCACATCCCCTCTGTGGATAAGTCATTCGATTAAGAGGTTCCCATTTGAAGACTGAGTCCAGGGTCAAAAAAAGGTTCTTATCAAGCTATGAAAGAATGAGGGGGAAAACCCCCCTCTACATCAGAGCCTATTTCTCCTTCTCTGCCCAGCCACTGGAAAGCTGTGTGTGTGTCATAAGTGCAGGATGAGCGCAGACACAAAAAAGCAGCAGAGTGAAGATTAGATTATGCAAGATTCTTTATAATCCTGATCTCCTTCACATCTCATCTTCTATTTATACAAAATGATGGATGCCTGGTGCAGTCCATTAGCTTTGGTGTCCTTGGCACACGGTCTCATGAGGAGAGGGTTTCACTTCAGACCTTCATGCAGTTGTGGCTCTACTGCTTCCACCAGCTCCCTACCAATCTTAACGAATGAGGTTAGGAATCCCCACGGTATTTGTAATGATGGGGCAGACATATGCGTGAGATTTCTGGAAATGAAAAGCAAATTGAAACTGTAATCTGGACTAATCCTTCCTTGAAAGGCAAGGGGGTTGGATGTATGGTGTCCTGACCTTTACAGTTTCTTTTGTCCTTATAAGCTATCATCTATTCTCAGTTTTAGCCAATACAGGGTAGGAGGGACATGGAATTGACTGTTTTTTATGCCAAAGGATAGTTTTGGATTACTGCTTTGTCTTTCTCACATCATCCCTCTGTTACCCATTGAATGGTGCTCCCTTTTCAATGTCTCTTACATGTTCATTATGAATAATACATTGTTTTATTTAGGTGAAGATGTTGCTGATGAAAAAGCTGAGGGTGGCAGGGTGGTCATTTAAGGCTCACATGCCCAACATGGTCCTGGTTCCAGTTCAAAATAGAGAAATACTGGGAACTCTCATTCCCAAGGTGTATGGGAATGGTAGGCCTGAGTGCAAAGCATGCTGAGAAGGAGTGCCAGGGGCATAAGAAGATTCCCGTAGGAACAGGGACATAGCTTTGGGCCACTTGAGAAGAAACACAGGCTGCAGCAGAGCAAAGGAAGAAGGATCCTCAAGAGAAGTGGAGTGAGGTGTATTGGTTGTTGGCCTTGATGTTTTTATTATTTTGGGGCCAAACGCCAGAGCTTTCAGGAGAGGGAGAGCACGGAGCTCCCTTTTGACCATCAGGGCCCATCAGGTCAGTTTATGCCCTAATAGGGACAGTGGCTTGAGCTTGCCCTTGAGGTCTATTACACCAGAGAGCCTGACTATCTCTGAGTCTTGGTGGTGAGACGGGAACAGGAAAGGCAGTGACATCTGCCCAGGTGAGATGTCAACATCTGCTCAGGAATGGATTCAGAACCCTGGGTCAGTGCGAACGGACCCAGACGCTTGGCATCTCCTCCGTTCAAACCATCAGCTCAGTCCCATATGGAAACTGGAACACGACTTCATAATTTCCATTCTTTAGAGTGCAACTGGCTGGATGTAAATGGGAAATGGGACCAGCAACTTCTTTCAACCTAGCCTTGTTTGCAATCATACACTACAGCGATTGGTGCCAGGCAGGCGTGCACAGACAGCTAGAACTCTATTTTTCTATACTTTAAATAAATTCAGAGATGCCAACAACACCACTACTCAAGGCCACGATTCCTTTTCAAAACAACCGTATGCGCCAATGGCACAACTAAGCAAAAAGGCCCCTTGTCTTTCCTCTCGAATGAATGTCAAGCAGCTATTCACTTTCTCTCTTGTATATCTAGCAACTGAATAGATGCACTTTCTTCTTTTGCTACATTCTAGCAGGGTCAGTGATGTATCACTGCTAATTATAATACTTGTAGAAGTGTCTGGGAACAAACAAAAGGTGATGATGATACTTTGGCTGCAACTAAATCTCTATCGAGCACCTGCATTTCATTTAGTCTAGAGAAAAATTTGGGCAGATCATCTTGAAAGCTGCTAGTTAGAGGAGTGCTGTCTTTCAAATGGAATAGACATCTGCTTAGCTCCCACTTTTTTTTTTCTTTTTGGGAATCTTTTTTCTGTTTAATAGGCTTTCTTAATTATGCATTTTACAATTAATACCAGTACATGCATAATAAAAGACTGAGGAGTGAATACAGAATCTCTCAATACAGAAGTAAGCTCTAGTTTATATGTAAATATTGCAGATCCTCCCTCCATCCTGGCTTAGAGAAGAAAGCTTTCTGATGATTAAACGAAGGTGACAATAATTCCTGCATCTGTCACAATACTGCCTGCTGTTGTATAATGAGCTACAAGAACCAGGTCTCCCTGGTCTTCAGTGCAGACAAAACTTCTATTTGTAAAATGTAATTAATCTTATTCACAATCAGGAACCTCAATGGGCCCATCTACACAAGACACTACAAGCGCAGTAGACTAATTTTACTGTGCATTAGTGCTGTGGGCAAAAACCATGCTAATGTGCAGTAGAATTAGTCTACTGCACATTAGCATCACCTAAAATGCATGCACCAGCGCTACTGTGCGGTAGTGCTGGTTACTGAGCAATGAGCATTTAGTTAGTAACTAAATGCGCAGTAACCACCAGGCAAATAAACTGCTCTAATTTTTATCTGAGCCTAATTTGCACAACACGAACTTTTCCAACCAGGATATCTTACAGCACCTTCAACTCTTCTGTGAAATATGAATTTTCATTTCCACCTAAGAGAAATTTTACAAACTTTGCATTCTCCTATGCCTGAAAAGGGGTGTGTGCACCCGAAAGCCTGCAAATAAAGACTTTTTTTTTGCAAATATCTAGTTGGTCTAATAAAAGATATCACCTCTGCCATGAGTTCTGATTCCTCTTGCCTGTAGACCAATATGGCTACAGTCTGTATCCCAGTAACCACTGCTCATTAATGCACAGTGTTCCCTACTAAACAGGCAGCTACTGCTTCATGGATTGCCCAATATTTTTTCTTTTGATTTTGACTGAGTTATTAAAAGTGACCTAGAGTCTTAACTTTAACAAGACAAAATCTCAGGTATTCCCTACCCTGAGTTGCCCAATGCTTTATGTTTCCTGTGTCTGTTTTGCATAAGCAGTAATCTCACTAAGGATGTGAAGGGGGCCTTTCCACTGTCATTAAGGACTGGGTTTCAATAGTACTAGAGTTATGTGCACACTGCCATCACTGAGTTCAGGACCATCCAAATTCCCTTCAAACTAGCCAGGTAGGGTATCCGTAACAGTCTACCCAGGTCATCTCATTGCTTAGAACAGACTTTAGTATTTGCCCTATTTCTCAGGCAGGGTGTGCAACCTGCATAAAGCTCCCTATTGCTGTGACAACACTAAAAGCTGCTCATAAGCAAGTTAAAGTTGGCTCAGGTATAGTGACTGCAGTGTAGACACACCCTTAGTCTCCAATTTCATTACCAAAACAGGTAGCCAGATCTTTCTGTAGAGCACCTGGGGTATGGGGCTCTTATTGAAAATCCCTCTTTTAATCCCTAAATGGAAGCCAGTCCCTTTTTAAAGCTTACAGATGTTCAGCAATTGAAAATCTGTCCCATAAGAGTCTAGTATTTCTTCCTTTCCAAATGCAACTTAGCAGGGAATAACACTGAAACCATTCAACCTAAAGAGCCTCCCCTTTCAATGTCGTGCTTAGGACAATTCCAGTCATTCAGAAAGGCCCCGATCGTGGTCAGAACTCCATCCAGTTACATGAGAGATGGTCCAAAAGAGCATCCAGTCTAAACATGCAAGCAGCTAAAGCAACATCTGGATAATAACAACCTTTGTCAGACAGGTTCAAGGCTAGGCTTGGCACCCAGAATGACCCTTATCTCTTTTTTTTTTTTTAACTGATAACACTTCTCTCAAATGGTACCTCTGTGAAAAATATTTGGCATGCTGCAAGAGTAAAAAGAAAATCATTAGTCTTGGGGAGGATTTGGTTTCTGCACAATATTGATTTCCAGTTGTGCCTGCATCTATCTAAAAGTGCAAGGCAGAACAGAAAAACAAGTTGGGGAAGAAGTGAAGGTTATTTGAAGAGCTTGAAATGTTAAAAGGCTCACAGTTGAGATTGAAGTAAAGGTCAGGGTGAGGCTGCATTTATGGAGACCAGTCCGTTCCCACACAAAGCTGGGCTGTGGATTGTAACAGAGATGTGTGAATCTAGAGCAAATAAAAAAAAAAAGGGGGGGGGGGGGGGGGGGCATCTTTCAAAAGTCCTTCCCTGAGCTTGCCCATCTGATCTAAAGGTCTGAATTCAGGGGCTGCTAAGATCTTGGCTCTGCTCCCATCTCTCTCTGCATCTGTGGGCAAGTCACCTATGCCCTTATTTTTAAAAGTGACCACTGATTCTTTAGTCCTCAGCTCCTGAGAGCCCAATTTTAGCCTCTCTCCACACCAGCTTGCCTGGCAGCATAATGCTGATTATGCTGACCTGCCTCTCCAAGGTGGCCTGGAGATTAGCTACTGCTTGTCAAGTACTTTGAAGAAAGCAAGTGCAAGTCTTTTTACTTGCCTGTGCAATCAATACAACAGGATATAAGATGATGTCTTTTTTCCCCCTTTGGTTTTGCAAGGTCTTGTATAGCTAAAACCTGTTTGAGCACTACCTACTCTCCTACTCCAAGAGGCATTTCAGTCATTAGTTTGTGTGCATGGTAAAGGCAGGAAGACTAGTTGTATTCAATGGGGAAAGTCATGCCCTGTAATGCTACAGTAAGGTTAAACCTCCAGGCTGGGAACTTCAAATGCACCTAAAGGATTTAGGTGCCCAGACCTCACTGCATTTTAATGGGAGCCCAATTCCTTGAGCTTCTTTTAGAATTCTACCCCAAAACTCAAGTATAGCTTTCAGTATGATAAGGGTCAGAAATGGAGCTGATTTGAAAGCAAGGGCGGTGAAAGGGGGTGAGACAGGGGAAACATCAATGTTTTGACTGATAAAATGAAATTTTGGCTGAAAAATGCATATTTTGATTTAAAAAATGTCACAGCTGTATCTTTTGGAACATGTAGTTCAGGTGTTTTATGTTCCCGTTCTCCATGAGCTATCTGTGTGGACTCCTGTGCTGCACCCCTGCCATCCATCTTGCTAAACCAATGCAATGAACTGTGGTTGTCTCTGCCTACAATGAATCATGGTAGATACTGTCCAGCTAGAGAGCTTGGCCCAAAGAGAAGCTCAGGCCTATGAGGCATCCAGACCACAGGTCCCAGTAGGCACCAGAGGGGAATTTCCAAGCTGAAAACCTTTGGGTTTTGAGTGTAACAAAAAGTTGAACTTTACTGTGGGAAACAAGCATTTTCCATAAGAAAAGGAAAAACAGTTTAGTCAGACCCGCAATATTTGGTCATATAGAAGTGTCAACAGGAAGCTCTCAGCCAGCCCCAGCTCTTGTCAGGGAGCCAGGCTAGCAGAGAGTTGCAGTGCCCTGTTGCTTCGTGGTCTGGCCCATGGAGGTGTGTATATGTGGGTTCACCCTCTTCTTTTCCCTCTTTCAGACAC